TTAGTTTTTATTTTTTCTTTCGAGACTCGGTACCATACTCTACAAATCTCGATAGCCTCATGTCTCATGATGAAGTGAAAAGTTGCTAGAAAAAGTAGCTAAAAAGTTTAGCTACAAACTGTCCGTCACCAAAAAATAGCTATATCTAGCTATAAAGTTGCTAAGTTGGCATCACTGCCCCGAAATGTAGGGACTGGAAATATGGAACGAGAAAAGCATGTATACATGCATGTCAAGCACGAGGTTGCGGCTTTAAACCTGGCTTATACAGTCGAACGCACGTAAAATCTTGAAAACTACTTAATTTCGTAGAGGAGTAAGGGCATTAATTTCGTAATTCAACTGTTGCTACTGACGTGCTGATGACTAACTTATGTAACTTTTTAAGTATCATAGGGTACTCTCTGAAATTATTCATACGCCAATCGAAATATTCAGGACAATTTAATAAAGAATAACTTTAATAATGATCAATAAGGTGTAAAGAAATCATATCTTCTTCAATGTTATTTGAATACTCACTGTCACTATCACTTTTGTCACTGTCACTGCCAACCCACAATAAAAAGCGATCACTTCCTTCATCTATTATTTTATCTTTGCCTATGTACTCATCTCCAATTTTTATAACATGTGAGCACTCTTTTTTCCAAAGCTCATTGTTTATTGAGCCAAACACTTCTTTTATAAGCGGTTCCACTTGATCATGTCTCTGGCCGACATTTTACTCTGCGAACCGTCTCTTACGTCTCTAACTCGTCACTACACTCCATATTAACGCAATTGGATTTAAATCGGCATGATATGGGGGCAGTGCAATGTTTTGCACCACTCGTAATTTTTTATGACCATGTGATTTTATTAATTCGTCGACCTTATATATGGGCTCTAGTTTAATCTTTTTTTTATTAATTCATATAAAGCATTATTTGTCAAATTAGGTGAAAACAACAGCCCCCTTGTTTTGAAGCCACTCTACCATATCTGCTTTGAGGCTCGTCATATTAGGGCTTTTATATATTTTTATAGTATGGTATGGTGCATTGTCCATCACAATCACATAATTGGCAGGTAGCAGGTTTGGTAAAACTTGTTTTTCCAGCCATTTTATAAATTTATCGCTATTCATATCGTCATGGAAATCGGATGATTTTGTTTGTGACATGAAAAGCAGTAACGCATTAATTAATGAAGCCGTCTGTAGTTCCAGCGATTGCAACTGTCCATCGTCTACTAGTACCAGAATCTCTGACCAATACACCTTCTTCAGACTCTGATAAGAGACTGCCAAAATTTTTACACTTTATATGAGGAATGAATAAATGTTTAACCTAAATAGATAAAAATAGGCAATACTCCGCTCATCTTCTCGGTATTTTTTGGCAGCTATATCTGTTCGATCCACTAACATTTTTTTATATTTATATCAGAGTCGTTTTAATATTTTCCAGTATTGTGGTTAAGTAGTGTAGTAAGCCTACCTTAAAAACTTATTTCATTTCGCAATTTGATAAGTAATTTGCTTAACGAAGGATTTTCTTTTCGTACAGCGTAAAATGACATAATTTTTTGTCGAATTGCACTAGCATCGAAGTCATTGATCTTTATCTTCTTATCATGATTTGGTCGTTTTTCCAGGTGTTGTTACGTTGGATGGACCAGGCACACCCAAATTTGAAACTGAACTGGTCTCTCTTTCTTGTCCAAACATTCGGCTTACAGTAGATTCGGATACATCTGTAATCATTAAACAAATGCAATTTAATTTTACTAGTTTATAAAATTTTAATGTTTTAGTAACGTAAGTGTCATTACTTAAATATACATAATATACTTACTTCCATAGAAATATTTTAGTATCATCTAATGAAATAGATAAACAAATTTAAAATATGACCCAGCACCATGCGGTACTGTAAAGGTTAGTCTAAAACTAAATCATTGTAACTGGTCACCCTATAAACCGGTCATGGCAGCACGAACTTGTTGCAATGGAACAATCGGCTTGTTTTCAGCCTTTTCTTTTTCACAAAAAGAAGAATACTGTGCCTTTTAGCACTTATTACCACTTTCGGCATTTTTAAATTCCACCACTACCAATCACTCACGCGTCGAGTTAAGATGAACGGACAATAGTTATTAGTGTTCTGAGGTAGAATTTCATCCTAAGGCGATACTTGTAAATAAAGGTAAAAAGTAAATAAAGTTTTTCCTTATTGTTATGTATATTATAACTTACTAAGTTAGGTGGTAGCCGGCCTGTCTCCCTCCGCGCTTTAGGCATAAAAATATACCCACGCTCCACGGCATAAGTATTTAGGCACTTTATTATATTTAGGAATTTTTCTTCAAATATGGCCTCACAAAAAGCCAAAAGGTACTGCATAACATACGGGTGCTTAAACAACGTTAGGAATGTCGACTTTTCATTCTTTATTGTTCCTAAGGATACCGAAAGTTAAGGTATTATTATTTATAGGTAGATCTAGATAACTAGGTACCTAGTTACTGACGCCATAGTTACAGTTTTCTTATTTGATCAGCGACCCGACCACAGCTTCGCAGTTTTCGACTTTTTCGCATATAATGCTAATGACCTTAAAGAACAATGGCAGACTTTCATACATACAATTAGTTGAGTAGGAATGGTAGCGTCTATATATAAAAAATATCATAAAATGTTAAGCGTCAGTCCCTTTATAACTCTGTCAAAGAATTATGTTCTGAGAAGGCGTCAAAAAAAAGATATTTAGATTTGAACTTTTTTAGGTTATGTTTTGTCACTTAGAAAAAATCATGCGTCCTATGGTTGTTTGATGTTAGCTTAATACATTCTCAACATAATGTGCCCAACCTACATAACTGATAGTGTTTAGATTATTGTATCTCTATTATATGTATATTTGCATACTATAAATGTATATTTCTGGCAAGGTTCCAGGGCCTTTGTGTCGTATAGTGACATTCTCAGAAGGGTTAGAACCCAGAGCCGTAAAGCCAGTAAATAAAATCAGTGACATTTTGTTTTAGCTAGTGTTGCCATAACATTAAATGGAATTGTTACAAAATACACTATGATTGAGCTAATGTATTATTGTAGGAAGTTCTTTGTAAGAGACTTATTTTCAACCATATCACTTTTATTTTTATTATTACTGATACTATACTATAATACACAAAATATTTTCATATTAAGTTATTATTACTAATAATAACTAAATATAAAAATATTTTATATTAAGTTATTATTACTAGTAATAACTTAATATAAAAATATTTTGTGTTTGTGTATTGTGTTGGTACTCTTACAAAGTTATACGAAAATAGTATGAATATAGTAAATGACAACACGTGTATAGAGTAAAATGATTTATGTCATTTGATATTCCCAAAAATTAGCAACATTGTAACTAGGTGTAAACTCGCAAGTTTGCTATTAGAGTGATCCGTCTGTTCCTGTACTATTATTTATTCTGTGGTTATAGCGCACCTTATAAAGTTTTAATGTTCTTTATTTAAGAAATTAAACACAAATTGGCAAATATTTCGAAAACAATTTTTTTTTGGTAAATGATTTAAGAAATGTTTTAAAATGAAATGTAAATGAAACAATAAATTATCAAATTATTTTTATTTTCTGTTCATGTAGACTTTTCACTATAAATTTAGTAACTAAAATACTTCAATAGAAAACTTTCTTCGGAATGTGACAAGTACATAATAATACTAGACAATTATATTAAACAGTAAACACCGCTTCGCATCTTGAATACTCAAGGCATACTTTACCGTGACAACTATTTTATAGATATATTTACACCGAACTTACATTTAACATTTTAGTATTAAAATATGTAAAAAAATAAGTTTCAGTTCCAATCTTACGTTATGCTGGTACTACCCGATTGTCAAACAACCTAACTCCAAACGTTCGTTCAAATCTGGGCGGGCTGGTAAGAATCATAAATCGGGCCTAAGTTTAGCCGACGAAAACTTAGTATCCACCATTTTCGTATTCATAAAAGTTTTCTAAGAACTATAACTATAACGTGCGTGCAAAATAAAGAAAGGTTTGTAAAAGAATGAGACAATGTTGTAGTACCAGTATAAAGTTAGACCATGAGATATTCTGCAAAGGATAATTTTTTGCAAGTTTTTATTATTATACATGCATAGTACAACTTACTGACAGAGTTATATGCCTTCTTTTTCCTACTTCCAACTCCCAACAATTACACATAATATCTCACTTTACAAATTACTGACACGTTATGGAGTACTCTCCCTTCGATATCACAGACCTTCAAAACCATCTCTAATTAATACTTCTTACATTCTGCCTCCAACTTTATTAACAACTAAACATAAGAGAAGAAACTTATAACATACATAGAGGTTCTAACACCCTAATCGGTAAAGAACTTTTATTAAGTCATTGTACAGACATTCAATACACTAAATTGTAATTAAATCAGCTTATCGTAAGCAAATCTTATGCTAACAAAATGAAATAAGTTACAGACAATTTTCACAAGTCATCAAATATTTCTAATGTAGAGATAAATAAAATAAATAGTAAAGACAACCGAAAAATACTTTTTATCTTAGAGATTAATTGTCATGACATAATTTCGCTTTGGCACGAGAAAGAGGAGACAAATGAAACATGAACCGAGAGAAGACAGATGATGCTGAGATCTTAGAAAACTGTATACAGATTTCGAATTGAACTATATTATAAGTCTAATTGTTTTGTCTGATGTGGTACAATGTTCAGTAATACAAAATTTAATATCTATTCACAGTCTTCATACTGATTGGCGGCACCACAGCGCGCGTTGCTGCGTTGATATACGCGTGTCCCAAGAAACGGGCCAGTTTCGATAGCACAGTGTCTGACACTTTTAACACGAGTTTATTCACAGTTCACAGCTGCCATTAGGTTCACGAAGCTATGACTTCGAAGAGTCCCATATTGGTCACCGTTTTGTCATTAAGTTTCACACGAGCGCAGTTAAACTACCAGAGCGATAGTTCTTACTTTCCTCAGCTTCCGTGTTGTTAGGTTTCTCCTGAAAGATATACAATTATAAGTAATAATATAATAATTTATAACTAACAGTTTTTTTATGGAATTATAAGTCTAAGACAGTATATTGTTAAAAAATAAAGGTAACCCGCACATGGTGCGCGTCCAGAAGGCGCGCTCGTGCACGTGGCGCCAGGCCAGCAGCCGGTGCGTGTGTGTGCGTGACGTACCGTGTGCGGGTGCGGGTGGTGCGGGGGCGGCGGCGGCAGCGGCAGCGCGAGGCGCAGCGCGGTCCAGAAGGCGCGCTCGTGCACGTGGCGCCAGGCCAGCAGCCGGTGCGTGTGTGTGCGTGACGTACCGTGTGCGGGTGCGGGTGGTGTGGGGGCGGCGGCGGCAGCGGCAGCGCGAGGCGCAGCGCGGTCCAGAAGGCGCGCTCGTGCACGTGGCGCCAGGCCAGCAGCCGGTGCGTGTGTGTGCTTGTGTGTGCGTGACGTACCGTGTGCGGGTGCGGGTGGTGCGGGGGCGGCGGCGGCAGCGGCAGCGCGAGGCGCAGCGCGGTCCAGAAGGCGCGCTCGTGCACGTGGCGCCAGGCCAGCAGCCGGTGCGTGTGTGTGCTTGTGTGTGCGTGACGTACCGTGTGCGGGTGCGGGTGGTGCGGGGGCGGCGGCGGCAGCGGCAGCGCGAGGCGCAGCGCGGTCCAGAAGGCGCGCTCGTGCACGTGGCGCCAGGCCAGCAGCCGGTGCGTGTGTGTGCGTGACGTACCGTGTGCGGGTGCGGGTGGTGCGGGGGCGGCGGCGGCAGCGGCAGCGCGAGGCGCAGCGCGGTCCAGAAGGCGCGCTCGTGCACGTGGCGCCAGGCCAGCAGCCGGTGCGTGTGTGTGCGTGACGTACCGTGTGCGGGTGCGGGTGGTGCGGGGGCGGCGGCGGCAGCGGCAGCGCGAGGCGCAGCGCGGTCCAGAAGGCGCGCTCGTGCACGTGGCGCCAGGCCAGCAGCCGGTGCGTGTGTGTGCGTGACGTACCGTGTGCGGGTGCGGGTGGTGCGGGGGCGGCGGCGGCAGCGGCAGCGCGAGGCGCAGCGCGGTCCAGAAGGCGCGCTCGTGCACGTGGCGCCAGGCCAGCAGCCGGTGCGTGTGTGTGCTTGTGTGTGCGTGACGTACCGTGTGCGGGTGCGGGTGGTGCGGGGGCGGCGGCGGCAGCGGCAGCGCGAGGCGCAGCGCGGTCCAGAAGGCGCGCTCGTGCACGTGGCGCCAGGCCAGCAGCCGGTGCGTGTGTGTGCGTGACGTACCGTGTGCGGGTGCGGGTGGTGCGGGGGCGGCGGCGGCAGCGGCAGCGCGAGGCGCAGCGCGGTCCAGAAGGCGCGCTCGTGCACGTGGCGCCAGGCCAGCAGCCGGTGCGTGTGTGTGCGTGACGTACCGTGTGCGGGTGCGGGTGGTGCGGGGGCGGCGGCGGCAGCGGCAGCGCGAGGCGCAGCGCGGTCCAGAAGGCGCGCTCGTGCACGTGGCGCCAGGCCAGCAGCCGGTGCGTGTGTGTGCGTGACGTACCGTGTGCGGGTGCGGGTGGTGCGGGGGCGGCGGCGGCAGCGGCAGCGCGAGGCGCAGCGCGGTCCAGAAGGCGCGCTCGTGCACGTGGCGCCAGGCCAGCAGCCGGTGCGTGTGTGTGCTTGTGTGTGCGTGACGTACCGTGTGCGGGTGCGGGTGGTGCGGGGGCGGCGGCGGCAGCGGCAGCGCGAGGCGCAGCGCGGTCCAGAAGGCGCGCTCGTGCACGTGGCGCCAGGCCAGCAGCCGGTGCGTGTGTGTGCGTGACGTACCGTGTGCGGGTGCGGGTGGTGCGGGGGCGGCGGCGGCAGCGGCAGCGCGAGGCGCAGCGCGGTCCAGAAGGCGCGCTCGTGCACGTGGCGCCAGGCCAGCAGCCGGTGCGTGTGTGTGCGTGTGTGTGCGTGACGTACCGTGTGCGGGTGCGGGGGCGGCGGCGGCAGCGGCAGCGCGAGGCGCAGCGCGGTCCAGAAGGCGCGCTCGTACACGTGGCGCCAGGCCAGCAGCCGGTGCGTGTGTGTGCGTAACGTACCGTGTGCGGGTGCGGGTGGTGCGGGGGCGGCGGCGGCAGCGGCAGCGCGAGGCGCAGCGCGGTCCAGAAGGCGCGCTCGTGCACGTGGCGCCAGGCCAGCTGCCGGTGCGTGTGTGTGCGTGACGTACCGTGTGCGGGTGCGGGTGGTGCGGGGGCGGCGGCGGCAGCGGCAGCGCGAGGCGCAGCGCGGTCCAGGAGGCGCGCTCGTGCACGTGGCGCCAGGCCAGCAGCCGGTGCGTGTGTGTGCGTGACGTACCGTGTGCGGGTGCGGGTGGTGCGGGGGCGGCGGCGGCAGCGGCAGCGCGAGGCGCAGCGCGGTCCAGAAGGCGCGCTCGTGCACGTGGCGCCAGGCCAGCAGCCGGTGCGTGTGTGTGCGTGTGTGTGCGTGACGTACCGTGTGCGGGTGCGGGGGCGGCGGCGGCAGCGGCAGCGCGAGGCGCAGCGCGGTCCAGAAGGCGCGCTCGTACACGTGGCGCCAGGCCAGCAGCCGGTGCGTGTGTGTGCGTAACGTACCGTGTGCGGGTGCGGGTGGTGCGGGGGCGGCGGCGGCAGCGGCAGCGCGAGGCGCAGCGCGGTCCAGAAGGCGCGCTCGTGCACGTGGCGCCAGGCCAGCTGCCGGTGCGTGTGTGTGCGTGACGTACCGTGTGCGGGTGCGGGTGGTGCGGGGGCGGCGGCGGCAGCGGCAGCGCGAGGCGCAGCGCGGTCCAGGAGGCGCGCTCGTGCACGTGGCGCCAGGCCAGCAGCCGGTGCGTGTGTGTGCGTGACGTACCGTGTGCGGGTGCGGGTGGTGCGGGGGCGGCGGCGGCAGCGGCAGCGCGAGGCGCAGCGCGGTCCAGAAGGCGCGCTCGTGCACGTGGCGCCAGGCCAGCAGCCGGTGCGTGTGTGTGCGTGTGTGTGCGTGACGTACCGTGTGCGGGTGCGGGGGCGGCGGCGGCAGCGGCAGCGCGAGGCGCAGCGCGGTCCAGAAGGCGCGCTCGTACACGTGGCGCCAGGCCAGCAGCCGGTGCGTGTGTGTGCGTAACGTACCGTGTGCGGGTGCGGGTGGTGCGGGGGCGGCGGCGGCAGCGGCAGCGCGAGGCGCAGCGCGATCCAGAAGGCGCGCTCGTGCACGTGGCGCCAGGCCAGCTGCCGGTGCGTGTGTGTGCGTGACGTACCGTGTGCGGGTGCGGGTGGTGCGGGGGCGGCGGCGGCAGCGGCAGCGCGAGGCGCAGCGCGGTCCAGAAGGCGCGCTCGTGCACGTGGCGCCAGGCCAGCTGCCGGTGCGTGTGTGTGCGTGACGTACCGTGTGCGGGTGCGGGTGGTGCGGGGGCGGCGGCGGCAGCGGCAGCGCGAGGCGCAGCGCGGTCCAGGAGGCGCGCTCGTGCACGTGGCGCCAGGCCAGCAGCCGGTGCGTGTGTGTGCGTGACGTACCGTGTGCGGGTGCGGGTGGTGCGGGGGCGGCGGCGGCAGCGGCAGCGCGAGGCGCAGCGCGGTCCAGAAGGCGCGCTCGTGCACGTGGCGCCAGGCCAGCAGCCGGTGCGTGTGTGTGCGTGTGTGTGCGTGACGTACCGTGTGCGGGTGCGGGGGCGGCGGCGGCAGCGGCAGCGCGAGGCGCAGCGCGGTCCAGAAGGCGCGCTCGTACACGTGGCGCCAGGCCAGCAGCCGGTGCGTGTGTGTGCGTAACGTACCGTGTGCGGGTGCGGGTGGTGCGGGGGCGGCGGCGGCAGCGGCAGCGCGAGGCGCAGCGCGGTCCAGAAGGCGCGCTCGTGCACGTGGCGCCAGGCCAGCTGCCGGTGCGTGTGTGTGCGTGACGTACCGTGTGCGGGTGCGGGTGGTGCGGGGGCGGCGGCGGCAGCGGCAGCGCGAGGCGCAGCGCGGTCCAGAAGGCGCGCTCGTGCACGTGGCGCCAGGCCAGCTGCCGGTGCGTGTGTGTGCGTGACGTACCGTGTGCGGGTGCGGGTGGTGCGGGGGCGGCGGCGGCAGCGGCAGCGCGAGGCGCAGCGCGGTCCAGGAGGCGCGCTCGTGCACGTGGCGCCAGGCCAGCAGCCGGTGCGTGTGTGTGCGTGACGTACCGTGTGCGGGTGCGGGTGGTGCGGGGGCGGCGGCGGCAGCGGCAGCGCGAGGCGCAGCGCGGTCCAGAAGGCGCGCTCGTGCACGTGGCGCCAGGCCAGCAGCCGGTGCGTGTGTGTGCGTGTGTGTGCGTGACGTACCGTGTGCGGGTGCGGGGGCGGCGGCGGCAGCGGCAGCGCGAGGCGCAGCGCGGTCCAGAAGGCGCGCTCGTACACGTGGCGCCAGGCCAGCAGCCGGTGCGTGTGTGTGCGTAACGTACCGTGTGCGGGTGCGGGTGGTGCGGGGGCGGCGGCGGCAGCGGCAGCGCGAGGCGCAGCGCGGTCCAGAAGGCGCGCTCGTGCACGTGGCGCCAGGCCAGCTGCCGGTGCGTGTGTGTGCGTGACGTACCGTGTGCGGGTGCGGGTGGTGCGGGGGCGGCGGCGGCAGCGGCAGCGCGAGGCGCAGCGCGGTCCAGAAGGCGCGCTCGTGCACGTGGCGCCAGGCCAGCTGCCGGTGCGTGTGTGTGCGTGACGTACCGTGTGCGGGTGCGGGTGGTGCGGGGGCGGCGGCGGCAGCGGCAGCGCGAGGCGCAGCGCGGTCCAGGAGGCGCGCTCGTGCACGTGGCGCCAGGCCAGCAGCCGGTGCGTGTGTGTGCGTGACGTACCGTGTGCGGGTGCGGGTGGTGCGGGGGCGGCGGCGGCAGCGGCAGCGCGAGGCGCAGCGCGGTCCAGAAGGCGCGCTCGTGCACGTGGCGCCAGGCCAGCAGCCGGTGCGTGTGTGTGCTTGTGTGTGCGTGACGTACCGTGTGCGGGTGCGGGTGGTGCGGGGGCGGCGGCGGCAGCGGCAGCGCGAGGCGCAGCGCGGTCCAGAAGGCGCGCTCGTGCACGTGGCGCCAGGCCAGCAGCCGGTGCGTGTGTGTGCGTGACGTACCGTGTGCGGGTGCGGGTGGTGCGGGGGCGGCGGCGGCAGCGGCAGCGCGAGGCGCAGCGCGGTCCAGAAGGCGCGCTCGTGCACGTGGCGCCAGGCCAGCAGCCGGTGCGTGTGTGTGCTTGTGTGTGCGTGACGTACCGTGTGCGGGTGCGGGTGGTGCGGGGGCGGCGGCGGCAGCGGCAGCGCGAGGCGCAGCGCGGTCCAGAAGGCGCGCTCGTGCACGTGGCGCCAGGCCAGCAGCCGGTGCGTGTGTGTGCTTGTGTGTGCGTGACGTACCGTGTGCGGGTGCGGGTGGTGCGGGGGCGGCGGCGGCAGCGGCAGCGCGAGGCGCAGCGCGGTCCAGAAGGCGCGCTCGTGCACGTGGCGCCAGGCCAGCAGCCGGTGCGTGTGTGTGCGTAACGTACCGTGTGCGGGTGCGGGTGGTGCGGGGGCGGCGGCGGCAGCGGCAGCGCGAGGCGCAGCGCGGTCCAGAAGGCGCGCTCGTGCACGTGGCGCCAGGCCAGCTGCCGGTGCGTGTGTGTGCGTGACGTACCGTGTGCGGGTGCGGGTGGTGCGGGGGCGGCGGCGGCAGCGGCAGCGCGAGGCGCAGCGCGGTCCAGAAGGCGCGCTCGTGCACGTGGCGCCAGGCCAGCTGCCGGTGCGTGTGTGTGCGTGACGTACCGTGTGCGGGTGCGGGTGGTGCGGGGGCGGCGGCGGCAGCGGCAGCGCGAGGCGCAGCGCGGTCCAGGAGGCGCGCTCGTGCACGTGGCGCCAGGCCAGCAGCCGGTGCGTGTGTGTGCGTGACGTACCGTGTGCGGGTGCGGGTGGTGCGGGGGCGGCGGCGGCAGCGGCAGCGCGAGGCGCAGCGCGGTCCAGAAGGCGCGCTCGTGCACGTGGCGCCAGGCCAGCAGCCGGTGCGTGTGTGTGCTTGTGTGTGCGTGACGTACCGTGTGCGGGTGCGGGTGGTGCGGGGGCGGCGGCGGCAGCGGCAGCGCGAGGCGCAGCGCGGTCCAGAAGGCGCGCTCGTGCACGTGGCGCCAGGCCACCAGCCGCGTGCGCCGCAGCGCGCCCACCAGCCACTCGCCCGCCTCCTTCGCCTCGCGCTTCAGCTTCGGCAGATCCTGATCGACACCACACACCGATTGCTTATTATTTATAAGTTTTTAATACATACTTATTGACCAGAAGGATTTAAAAAAATTATAGTATATATATAATAGCCAATAGATGTCAGGAAGAGTCATATTTTTCAGTTTATGTTTAAGTTCATTATCGATAAAGAGTTATTTATTTCACTTTTATCTTTGTACCGAAACATCGCCAATAGGATAAAAATATTTGCACAATATCGGTTTCTTTACTAATGTAATTACTACCATATTTTTTTTTTAAAGCTCGGTCGTTTTTTTTTTCATGATTTTTTTTTAAATATACTTAGACAGCTAGTGACCGATCGAAGATTCGGTTTCAGTTTCGGCTTCGGCAAGTTTCGGCAAAAAAAATCTAGTTTCGGTAATAGTTTCGGTTTCGGCAAAAAATCTGCCGAACCTTCGGCGGCGCTAAAACTCAGTGTTCATGGATTATCGTGCATCGTTCTGAGTTAGGATGAGTTCGTGACTCGTGTATTATTCATAATTATACAGAAACAGAAACTTTTTATTCAATATAGATTATAAATAATACTTATTGAAAGTTACTCTTTTGTTTAATTACCACTGGTTCGAAAAAAAACCTCTGTCCTTGGAAGAACCAGCAAGAAACCCAGCGGGCCTTTTTCTGCCGACTTCCAAAAAGGAGACGGTACTCAATTCGATTCGACTGTATGTTTTTTTATGTGTGGTACCTCATAACTTTTTACTGGGTGAACCGATTTCGATGATTTTTTTATTTGAAAGCTGGTACTTCTCGTGTGGTCCCATATGAATTTGATCAAGGTCAGACCAATAGTTTTTGAGTTATTCTTAGTAACTTATATTGAAGTCGGCTGTACAAAATTTTTAATTTTAAATTATTTAAATAACAGCTTATAATCAGAGGCGTAGCGTGGACTAATATAAACGTGGAAGAAGTTGCACCAGCGAGGTTTTCTTTCGTTCCAAGGATCTACCCAATAGATCTATCCTACCAAACGTGGTATGACATAACTTACCTACTCATATGTATTAATTCCTGACAAGTCTCGTATTCCGTCAAACTCACAGTTGCGGTCTTTGAAGGTAGTTACAACGGCCACTTAAATATAAATAACAAACACAAGTTAGGTAGCAAAGAACCTTTCACAACGGCATTTCGCAAATTTTCCTGCGAATAGTACGCCGTGTACTTTGATGTCGCGGTAACGTGCCAAGGCGGCACGACACAAATGCGACCGTAGCTAAGCGAACAGACTATACCCGGCAAATGATTTTGTTGGGTAGTCGGGTAAACGCCGCCGCGCCGGGAAAAATTATCTGGCGGCGTTTAAAGGCTCAAAATGGTGCGATCGGATCACTTGCATTTGCGGAACTGGGAACGCCGCGCCTGCGTTACACGGGGAGGGGGGGGGGGGGGGGGGTCGCTGCGTGCTCAGTCCATCCATTATATTAATCAAAGTTCATACTCAAGGCAACCAGCTTGGATCAGTCATTCTACGAACGAGTCTTAATCGGAGTCGAAATTCTGTCTTAATTCTTCTAGTATAAGTAAAGCGAGCTGCATGCCTGCAGTGTTACCTACTACTTTATATGTTCGACTTATTCAATTAAATATGCCTATTGCTCGTTGTTTTGTTTACGTATGACCTTGGGGTTTTAGATAATATACTGTAATTGTAAAATTATTTTTATATTCCTCCAATATTTTTATATATTATTCTAAATAAAAATAATCTTAAATCTTTAGACACCTCGAACGGACCTGAGCCTGATAGCCTTCCTGCAATTCTCGAACTAAAGATAACATATGTGTGCCTCTGCATATTTTTTGATATCTGAAAGCGTGTTAATGTGATTCTCGTACAAAAAACGTGTCAAAACATAATATTGAAAATGAAAGTCCAATTCCATTTTTATGTACTGCATTAAAACTTTGTAAAAGATTAGAATATAGTGAAATCTGTCCAATTCTTAATAATACTTTCATACTAGAGCAACATCGCTTCGCAAATAATAATAATAATAATAATCTTTATTTCCATATTTTCCATATATATATATCAGTTAACAATATGTCTATTTATAAACTACATAGGAATATTTCATCTTATAACATGAAAAATAGCATCCATTGCCGAACTAGGCCAAAACCTGTATTTCAGCATATGGCGCCACTCCCCAGGCATAATAAACATAAATTAATTATTTAAATTATAGAAAATTTACAAAACTTTGTTCTTTATATTACAGATGTGGTATAAAACAAAAAGTAAAATTGAAATTAAAAGAAAATATATATATATATTTATATATGTAAAATGTACCTCTTTTGTATATGGTGCTAGTGTACGTGTGTGTGTGGATGTGTGTGAGTGTGAGTGGTGTGTGTGTGTGTGTGTGTGTGTGTGTGTGTATGTGTGAGCGCGTGTAAGAGGGTGTGTACAAGGTGAAGAATACAGTTTAATGAATACCTTAAGTTACCTAACAATAGAGATTCGAGCACTGTCCATAATAACTTAGCTCTGCACTGTCAAGAGATCTTCCGTTTCATCATATCCTAGAGTCAGTAACCAAGATGTTATTTTCTTTTTGAATTGCTTTATATGTAGGGAGTAAACTGGAATAATTTTATTAACTTTGTTATACACAAAAGGACCTAAAGCACAGTAAAATCTCCAAACAAATGAAGTATGAAACTGTTTTAGTTCACAAGGTCTGACTATTCTGGAGTTTATACATTTTTGAGGATCAAAAATCACTTCACTGTGTTGTTTCAAGATTATACCTAAGATAAACAGTTGTCTGACGGTAAGGACTTCACAATTTTCAAAGAGAAGTTTGGTTGGGAATAAGAAAGGTCGAAAAGTGCTTACTTTGAGTACTGCACGCTGGGCAATTTCTAAGCACTTAATAGTAGAAGCTGGCGCTCCTCCCCAAGAAGTAATGCAGTACGATATCAGTGATTGGCAGAGTGCAAAGTAAATTTGCTTTATGAGTTTATAATCTGCAGTATGTCTAAGTGTTTTAAATATTATTATTAATTTCCGCACTCTTTTGCTTAATAATTCAATATGCGTTTTAAAATTTAAGTGACAATCTAACATTACCCCTAAGTATTTTATTTCATTAGTGCGCTCTAATTTAGGACAGGAACATTTATGTTTATCTACAAAATTGCAACTGTGAGCCACAAGATGAAATTTATCTCCAAGTCCTTTCAATTTCCGAATAGAAAAAGGAATGTATTTTGTTTTATTAGGATTTAGTGTCAAAAGATTTTCACCCAGCCATCTAGAGACACTGTCAAAAGCATCCTGCGCAGCATCAAAAACTTTCTGCCAGGAAATGGCTGAAATTAATAGAACTGTATCATCAGCATAGGAGATCAGATTACCATTTAAAGGTGTAAATGAAGTTAGTTCATTAATGTAAATCAGGAATAGAGTTGGTCCAAGAACGCTGCCCTGTGGAACTCCATAAGATATAGGTGCGTATGTGCTAATATATTCTCCAACTGCTGTAGCTTGAGCACGATTTGTAAGGTAATTCTTAAAAAGATTCAACTGATTATCTCTTATGCCTATAGACTCAAGCTTATTTAGTAGAATGGGGATCGATACTGTATCAAACGCCTTTGCAATGTCTAGAAATATGGCTAAGCATTTATTATGTTTATCTAAATTCGTAGCAATAAAATTAGTCACTGCATGAACTGCATCTGAAGTAGACTTTGCCTGACGTAAACCAAATTAGTTATCAGAAAGTAACTTACGATTTTCCAAATAACTCACCAGTCTGATATTAATGAGTTTTTCCAAGATCTTAGATATAGCAGGAAGTAATGATATAGGCCTATAATTTGTGATAAGATCTTCATCACCACCTTTATGTATCGGAATAACTATGGACTTTTTTAAATAATTAGGAAAGACCCCAACTTGTAAACAAAGATTAAAAATAAATGTAAGAGGCGAGACTAAGTAATTTCTGAATTTTTTTAGGAATATGTTTGAAATATTATCCCAACCTGCTGCACAGTTATCTTTAAGATTCAGAATTAAACTACTAACTTCAGCAATGTCAGTCTCTAATAAAACAAAAGAATTAATGGAGCAAAAATAAATAATAAATCAAAGATCTCTAGCAAACTTTTCCCTTTATGTTTGTAAGCTATTTTTTAACATCGATATTCGAAAACAAACAAGTACCGTACACACAAATTTCCAGAAAGCGTTTAACAAAGTTGACCATGAACTACTTCTTAAAAATAGTATTAATGAACAAGAGTGGAATAAGAGGCAACCTGCTAAGGTGCTTTGCTTCATACATTTTAAATAGGATACGAGCACTTATTTTATATGACCACTGGTCCAAAACAATAACAGCAATATCTGGTGTGCCACAAGGATCTATCCTTGGCCCGTTGCTCTTTATACTTTTTATAAATTACATTAACGTTAATTTTTTTATTATATGACTGATGATCTAAAGGCTTATAAATCTATTTAAAATGTAAATGATTGTTTACTGTTTCAAGAAGACCTTAATAATTGAGTTTGTATTGTCTAAAAATATACTTCATTTAAATATCCCAGTGTTACATTACCTTACATAATCTTTTACTAAAAAAATAACAGTGGTTAAATTTAACTATACCCTCTGTGAGATAAAATCTCTTTTGTTCGAGATCTTGGTGTAATTTTGGACCAAAGACTCCACTTCGATTTATATTTACAATCATTTCCATCAATCCATTTTTTTTAGTAATACTCATTGTACGACACTTATTTGTACCAGATAAAAGATACAAAACCTACCTGCAGTAAGACGACAACGGGCGGTAAAGGTAAAGCTCTCAGCTGGCGCAGTGCAGTGAGTAGCTGCTGAGGCGTGTATTGTGCAGGAGACAGCACCGCCACCAGGGAACGGCAACGCGAAGCTTCACCTACTAGCTCGCTGTACCCTGCAAAGCAAAATTACGTATAGTATTTAACCAAAGGCCAACGAGACCAGATAAAGAATACATAAACTCTGGACTTTTACTTAGTCCAGTCCCGTTAGTTTGTAATGTGTACAGTAGGATACGTGTTGTGTACAGTAGGATAATAGATTGAAAACATTTCGGAGAGGAAAATCCAAGTATTGAGAACTGCATGCAGTCTTCTGTTCTTGAAGTCAGCATTTAATTTGTCACTGTAGGTGAATATCGTAAATTTCACGGCCCGCACCAGTTTTTAACCTGACTGATTGAACACGTCAAATATATTTTTGATTGGACTAATACTAAATCCGTTTCATCAAAAACCTTTTTCTCTTTTTACTTCACCAAAATCCACGAATTTAGACGTTACATACACCCCTGGCCTAAGTTTTAATAAATGCAAACAATGGAATAATCTTTAACTTTTCATTATTACTTTTGACGAGCATTGCACAAAGATAATTTTTGACGAGACGATTATAACTTACATTGCCAGCAGGTACATCTTTCTGATAAAAACCTAAAGTTACAGTCTATATACTTCCCATAGCTGAGCACAGGCCTCCTCTCATTCCTGAGAGGGTTTTAGGGCAGGGAAATGTCCGCCGCGCTGCCCTAATGCGTGTTGGCGAACTTCACATGTCTTCGAAATATTTGTTTTTATTGTTTCTCAGACATGCAGGTTTCCTCACGATGTTTTCCTTCACCGCCGAGCACGTGGTAAATCATCACTTAAAATTGCAATAAACAATTTCATTGGTGCCAGCGGGATGGAACCCGGGTTGCTCGCGTACGGTGAAATTTACAGGGAGCACTTAGCTCCTGAGCTACCACGGCTCTTTAAAACTTAAAATAATAAATCTGCGGTTGTCTATACGTTTGTAAAAAAATAACCCTATGAGGCAATCTACGTGGGGGCCATATATTCAGCAGTAGAATTTTGATTGACTATGATGGAATAAATCAATAATAAATGCTTTGACCTCATAATAGGTTTAAAAAGTGAATATTTTATTTAATTTTGTCTAAATCCCATATTTTACTGATGATATTCTTATAGATCATTAATAAATAATCGGATACAAAATAAAGCAAGTTTTAATAAAAACTGTTGTAAACTTACAGTTGTCCGGCTGTGTGGAAAGCACTACTGCATGTACTCGATACTTGTACTTGAGCGCTAGAGTGGGCAGCAAGGCGCCGCGCACCAGCTCGCCGTCCACTTCCGTCCAACATACAAGTACATCGAACTCTTTTTCCAAGACTGTAAAATTAGTAAATAAAAAAAATAAGTATATGAGTGGATATACATGCGATAACATTTTGTGTCTCTCATATTTTTTATAAAATATAGAATTTTCAAGGCTTTATAGTAAAAGGTAAAAAATAAAACATACTTGTTTCAAATTATTTTTTTATATTTGAAGCAATAATATTAGCTTCACGATATACTCAATCTTTATTAAAATATGGTAGTTTCACCCATTTATAAAATTATAATATACGAATCCTTAACAAACAATTGTGTGCACGTACGAACCTTCGGTGCAGTATGCGGCAGAAGTATTGCGTGAGTTTGTTGTGTATATGTGCGCTGCGTGTTTTTTTTTTAAATTAAATAATAATTATAACTTTTAACAAAAAGTAAAAACCGACTTCAAATTGCTAACAAAGAAGTTATTTATTTACTACCTGGGTTGGCATTTTTTTTCCAATTTATATGAGACTACTGTTGAAGTATAACCTATTTAATAAAAAAAGAATCACTAAAATCGGTTCTCTATCTGCGAAGTTAAATTCAATATGACACGTTTTCCCCTGTTTGCTACCTATCTAATAAAGAAGAAATCATTAAAATCAGTTCACCATCTGCGAAGATATCGCGTAACATGCATACAAAAGAAGAACATACACTCGAATTGAGAACCTCCTCCTTTTTGAAGTAGGTTAATAAGGATGACAAATGACACTCCTGCTACACCTATATCTATACTTTATTAAGAATCAAATGTAGGCGTCGTTACCCTTGAGGACTAAGATAAAACGCCTCGTTTCTAGTAAATAGGGTCTTCGGTTCTCTACACTCACCATATGAAACACGACAGTATTAAGTTAATTTCACGCTGGTGTTCTGTGAGAACGTAGTTCTTCCACATTCGTGGCTTTACTACATATGTGTGTACGTGTGTATGTGTGTGAGATTGTTATAAACGTTTGTACGCAAGTGCTGTGCTGCTGCGTGTGTGAGACACAGCATTAAGCTGCTATCTCTGTGAGGACTTGATTCTTTCGCGATCGAGCCGAGCTTCTATCGTATACGTGTGTACGTGTATGTGTGTGAGAGAGAGTATTATGGATGTGTTTGATACGTGTGTATGTATGTGTGGGAAAGTATTGTGTACGTGTATGCGCACGTACTAAGCTGCGTGTGTAAAATAATGCGCATGTTTGTTTGGTGCGTCTGTACATGTGCGTGTGAGAGTAGTGCACGCGTGCGTTGCGTGCGTTGCGTGTGTAGAGTGTAGAGTGCAGAGTATTGTGCGTGTGCGTGCGTACGTACCTCGTGCGCGGTGCGCGGGCGTAGCGGCGCGCGCGCGCGCGTGGCGTGCGGCGAGCAGCAGGCGCGGCGTGCAGCGGCGGTGCAGCGCGGCGGCCGTCAGCAGCAGCAGCGCGCCGCCCGCGCCGCCCAGCGCCAGCGCGCGCCACGGCACCGCGCCGCCGCCGCACCACGCCGCCGCCCCGTCCCCCCACACTGCGCACCGTACACCACATTCATTTATGCTACAGATACACTGCTCCGAGTACGCAACGTATGCAACGCAATTATATCTGGCCGCTTGGTTTTGTACGAAAAAAATATATATTGTGTTAGGAACACACTTGCGTCGACGCAACGTCTGTAATGTCTAGATCGGCGTTGTTTGTATGCAATTCTGAACTTACGCGTAGCACATCATAAACAAATAAAACTTTGCACCGTTCAAGAGCTTTGTTGTCGAAATGGAAAATGAACAGCCTATCAATTTAGCAAGGTTTAGGATATAAAACGTGTTGAATATCGCGGTAATACATTATGTAATGATACAAAAAAAAAACAGCATGGAAAGGTATTATATGAAACTACTTTGTGGCATGGATATATTCATTTATGAACATCAGACTAAGTAAATCATTTTCAAACTCACTCTCAGAATCAGAAAACATGAAATAAATTTATGTCCGCTAAGAAGTAACAAGTGTCTGACGCCAAACGTACATTGCATACGTAGGCCAAGTGTGTACACCGACACGTAGGAGCGTTGCACGGCATACGTTGCGGACGTGGGACCAGTCTGTTCCTACCTTTAATCTACATATAAACAGCGCCACGACTCGTCAACACCAACTGACAACCATTGCGCATACACATTTTGTACACTTTACACTATAATGGTTTATTCATACAAAACAAAGTCGCAATAAAAACATTTTAAGCAATTCTTATCTGAAGTATAAAGCAATTATCAATGTATTTAAGGCTATAAATATAAAAATTAACAACATAATGTGTGCACTCACGCTTGTAGTGGAGCGTGACGTAGCTGCGCGACACGAAGTCGTTGCTGTGCACGACGCACACATACGTGCCGTAGTCTAGCGTCGACACACGCTCGATGCTCAGATATGCGCCGATTATGTCCTCCACATCGTCTCTGTTGCCAAAGAATATCACTCTATTGTTAACTATGTATCTAAATGTTTTAGGTAAAACTAATCAAGGCCTTTTACAATATTGAAAAATAAAGTAACCGAATGATGTCCAATTTGAATAGTGAATTTAGTTTCGCCACCGAGAAGCAGTGCGTTCTCTGCTGTTTTAGGCTGAAAGCTATGTGGGGCCTTTAGGGACGATACCCTCATCTGTAGTATTCTTTGTTTTAAGTAAGTATCGTGGACAGTTAGCTGAATGCTGTTGTTACAAAAAAACAAGCGTTCTCCCAATTTGGGAGGTTAATAAAAAGGAGAATACCGATCAGTATCGCTTCAGTAAGTACACACGTATATCAAACCAGCCTTTTTCTGTCTTAAGCTTATTGCCTTCTCAAAAATGCGCCAGCAGTATACAGGCAACACTCGGCAGGCGGATTAGCAAGAAACTTTATCAAGACCACATAAGTGATAACGCAGTAAACGCAATGCTGCGGCATATTACTGCTACAGCACGAGTGGGTCGGCTCTAACAGGGAAGTACAACGCTATTACACAATAGTCGTGGTACTTAGTCGTCAGGGGTGACAACGCTGTACATTTTGTTTCATAATTAAAGACCGGTAGGTGTCTAAGAGCCAAAGTATTGACGTACCGTCAGGTGGACTGTGAGCTAGCTTGCGCAACCACAAAAAACCGAAATGATGGACAGTAAACATATCTCGTTGTGATGGAAAACTATTATTTCTTTAACAAGAAACATCAGAGAAAATAATTAAATATTAAGTACCTAATTAGAGCATATTTCTTACCGAGAAGTTTTGATTTCGCGTTGCGTGGGCAGTAAGTCACCCTCGGTGCCGTTGGGCCAGACCTTCCACCATCGTAGATCGCTTCGTGCGTCCGCCAGATACGAGCGCCCTGAGGACGGGGGTACTTCTTAGTCATCGGCATTGTAAATTTTCAAATCAAACTTTAATCACCCGGACATAATATGTAGATAAAAACGCCTGCTTGGCCGCCATATATATGTGCATTATGTATAGGTAATGTGTAACAATACCGAGCATATTACAAACATTCACAAGTTCACTGATGAAAATAGGCTTCCCCTAAGTAGGTAATGCCTGTGAGAACGGTCCTGAGTCAACTGAATTCTTCGACTTCACTGGTCACTGGCAATACGCGGAACTATTTTAAGTTTTTAGAAATACATGAAGAGAAGATGTATCATAACCTTCCCGTTACTTCCCACTTTTTTCCAGGTTAGCAACTTCGAGCGTAGTGTTGACAACAACTTCCGGCATAGGTACCTATATGTGACATAAGCGTTACACATGATTTTTGTCTTGTCCATGTTGAGGTCATGAGACACTATTCAATGAGCATAGTTCTAAGATCTTCCAGCGGTCCTACTGTGCTAAAAATCCCCAGCGGAGATTCGATATTTCTTTATGAATTAATTTATGATATGTCAAAAAAAATTAATTAATTTTTAGTATTTATGTTTATACGTTTGTATAAACAAATTTGATATCTTTTACTTAAAAAATGTAATGCATTTAATGATATAAAACGAAAACCGCAATGGTGTATTAGTGGCACTGAATAAAGCAGCATAATATATTTTATAAGTAAAATAACATACACCAACATAGTATATTTAAAGTACATAACAATAATATGACGTCAGGAAGCAGCATTAGAGTTTGAGCTAGACGTCTTGTCAATTCGCTTGCTAGCGTGGCGGCAAAGGCTAATCTTCCTGAATTATTTGCTCCGTACACTACAGCGGATCTGGACCACTGTTCATAATTATTATTTATTTTTATTTTTCGAGACCCAGCGAGTTAATACACACAGCTTTTGCAATATTACCTTTAAGAGGAAAGTCAGCGACAAAACTTTCGTTCCGCGAACTGATGATACGAAATTAGGTCAGCATTATATTACTTGGCGTTATCAGTATTTTTATGTGTAATGTCGTATAACGGAAACTTACCGATGAGAGCTTCGCAGTACAGGCGCACCTCGCCCCCTTCCTCCACCCACTGGTCTTTCGAAATGAACATTGTTTTCGGCGCATCTGTCGGCTTTTCTGCGAAACGAAACGTTGCGTGTGAGAATCGCTATTGAAAATATTTCCTGGAATGAAACCTGATGCTGTTGAAAACTCAATATCTTACGTACAAGGACACAGATGGCGTTAATTGCAACGTTGATGATTAATAATTTTCCAATCACGAACGACTAGTTCGATTCTCGGAATTGACGTGCAAGTGCGCCCGATCAGTCACCTCGTCAGCAATATTAGACGCCTATCTAATGTTATAACATGTTATGCACCGACGTAGAAAGCAATACATAAGCCTTACGAGGAATTCGATCCTCGTGCCAATATTGCCGTGAAAAGGATTTTGTATTTGGAACATATTATAATGTTGTTAGCATATAGACATATCGACGTCAATATTACAGGTACGTTAACTATAAACATAGTTATACGATACACTTTATTTTTATTTTATTTTTATTTAAAACACGTTACCTCCACACTGAGATTTTCTCTTGTATCGTTACATACAGTTTACATACATAAATATTACAAGGACAAACAACCAGATCCGGAACAATTATTTGTAGGCGATATAAACACTTGTTCCTTGCGGGATTCGAACATACGGCCACTGCGCCACGGACTTATTTTTGAGTGTTAACGATACTTATTTATGTTTTATTATAAGACAAAATTAAATTATAACAATAAAACACAAAGAGTTTTAAAAGGTAATGCAATTAAAAATATGTTTGCCAGTATTGTTGGACAAAAATTACACATGGTCCATCTTATGGTAAGTGCTGGAATTACAAGAATCAATAAGTCATCATAGACAACCACATCCCACTTCGATGAAGAATGATCGTATTTCTAAATTTAATGAAGAATTAGTTAATAATCATTATCATGTAGGAATACGATACTTGATGAAGTCCTCCTGTCTTGTTAACCATTACGACGTAATCTATAACCTACACAGTACATGTGCCTTATGTTACATAATGCCATAAATTACATAATATTGCCTTATGCTTACTCTTATATCTTTATTAGGTAGGCTGACACACAAGAACTATCAGTGCACAACAGACTTTAAAACAAACAATTTGTATTTGTGCACAAATACTGACTCCGACTCTGGTTTGAATCTGGGACCCTTTGCGTAAACAATCGTCAATATGAGAATAGGAGAGTAATAGATTTCCTCATAGGACATAGGGGTACATAATTGCCACGCTTAGTAGGTAGGTTAAAAATCACAGTTTTTTTTAAATTATTTGGAGTAAGTTATTAGAAATAAATATATTATATAAATTATAGAGATGCGCTGACTATAGCATAGGCCGACTAGCTGATTCTCCGACTAATCGGTTGAAAAGAGGCCGACTAGTCGGTCTTTTAGTTCGCACTTCGCATCAGTGATTCATTTGAGTGGTGTAGTCGTAATAATTCAAGACATTCCAAAATGTTTTTCTAAAGTGTATGTCTGTTGTCCAGCTAGTTCTATGTATAGCAGGGTTTCCCAACCTTTTTTTGACCAGGGACCACTTTGATTTTTTTGTAGTTAGCAAGATCCACAAGGTGAAAGAAAAAACTGTCAATCTAACAATAAATTATAATCACAACTCTATTAACATAATCTATAGGTACATATAATAAATCTGTAGAAGTCGTGTCTGTAATTCCAAGATATTCTTGAAAAAACAAGTCCAGGGGACTAAATAAAGGGTTCTGAAGCCAAATTAATGGTTTTTAGAATTTTTGTCTGTCTGTCTGTCTGTGTATTACAGATTCACGCAAAAACTACTGGACCGATTTACATGAAATTTTGTATGTAGTAATCCAATACAACTTATAGGCTACTTTTTATCCGATTACGGAACTTCAAAAAAAGAAGATTATATTTTCCTTCCTTTAGATATTAATTTTCTATTATATCTTAATTATTAGTTATAGGCGGAATGACAGATGTTTTTCAAATAAAAATAAAATAAAGTTTAAAATATAGTAAATTATTTTACCTTGGTAAAATAATTTGAAACTACACCGATTTAGTTATGAAAACAGCGCCATCTAAATCATAAAGTTTTTTTTTTATAGTTAAGGCTGACAAACGAGCACACAGTCCACCTGATGGTAAGTGGTTGCTGTGGCCTATAGACATCTACATCTATCTTCGATTACGAATCAAAATGCAGATGCGTTATCACCCGTGAGGACTAAGATGGAATGCCTCGTTTCCAGTAAAAAGGGTCTCCGGTTCTCTACACTCACCATACGAAACACAGCAGCGTTGAGCTGCTTTTTTACGCTGGTATTCTGTGAGAGCGTGGTCCTTCCCCGGTCGAGCCGACCCATTCGTGCTACAACCATAATATAGCTGCAGCATGGCTCTACCACGTCAAATGGAAAAAGTACTATATTTTGCGTCATAATATATATAACTTACATTTATATGTTTAAATAATTAGATTTTTAAAATCATTTAAAATTATAACGTTTATTAGTTTTTTAGTATTTTTGTTATTTTAATTTTAAGGTGTAATCATTTTAATAGATAATAGTGACGTCTATCAGAAATATGAAAATTGATAAGGTTTTTATTTCAAATACTAATCTATATATAAGCTGATTAAAACTGGTCTGTCTGCAATTATTGCAAAATTTTCATTATCATTATTGTTTTATTAGAGATTTTTATATATATCGTGGCCAGATCGAAGAATTTATTATAAAATCATAAAATAGTCTATCATTTCGTGAAATTCTGTGGTAATTTCATGGTATTTAACACTGTAGACCACGTCATGATATAGCTTGACCAAATCAATGAATAGAAATCGTTTGAAGATATTAATAACTATTAACTATAATAATAACTAACGTTGCTATTTCATGATATGGTTATATGACGATATCATTAAATCATTTTTCACTGCTAGCGGCGCTGATAGCGAATTTTTTTACAGAAACAGAACTTTTAATAGAATTAACATCACTTTATGCCTTATTGATATAATAAATAAATGTTCGCTTCTATCGCTAGTATTACTAGATAGTATAGTTTTGGCTATCATTATTTCATCTAATAATTACTACTTCTAAATAAACTTCTAAATAATTACTACTACTGCTTCTAAATAAACTAAAATGGTAAGTCACTAATAAAATTAAATAATAGAATGCTACTTCATAAACGATGTAAATAATTGAAAATTCGTTCGTGGCATCGATGGATGTGTAATTGCTAGGTAGATGTGGTCAACCAATCATGCAAAAGCTCTCAGTTCACTCGCTTTCAGTTTTTATGAATTGTATTTAAACAAATACGAGGGCCGTGTAGCTCGCCGTGAGATTTCATCACGACACGGGAGAACTTCTTGGGGAAAACTAGATGTCTGAGTAATTAAAATAGTCGTGGAGATGTGAAAACCGTTAATATGCATTGAAGCATTGCAGCATACTCTATTTTTCTGCCCACAAAACACTATAGGTAACGAGGAGCCCTGTGCACAGTAGTGAGACGTATATAAGCTGCTACTTTACTTTTTTACCTTTAAAGAGACTTATAAATCAGTTTGTAACTTAAGATAGCTTTCATATTTTCAGGCAAATTAAGATATTTGTAACAGTCTTGGTTTCACAGCTCATGAATATATGTAAATGTGTAAATGAAAAATACTTTAATTAAAGAAAGCAGATTTTACTTAAACAAAGGTTCATTTTATTTTACTCGTCAAAGGCGGTAATTAAACTGATTAAAACTTAAATTTCGTAGTACGTAAGCATTATTATATATTTTAGCATATATTTTAATTGCAATTTGAAGTGTTGATTTACGTTCTCAGCGGTGAAGGAAAATCTGAATATCTGAGAAGTTTCTCAGTTGAGGTCATCTCGCGTTGGAATCAGCGCAGCAAACACTTTTTTGGCCAAAAACTCTGCGGCCTGTGTCCAGTAGCAACATGTAAGCTGCTACTTTTTTACTTTTCATGGGGCAATATATGCAGTTTTTATTTCACACATATTTTCGGATATGTTCGTTTTTTGTTTTCACTCTATCTTAAATATTAATGGTTGCAAAGATGAGTACATCTCATTATCGTCAACCTATCAAAAGTTCACTAAAATAAACGCCTCCCCAATATATTATTGTCAAGTAGCTGGATATTTGCTATAGTTGCCACGCTTGGTAGGCGGGTTGTCAACCGCAGCTATTGTCATTTTGATCTGTTGTGAGGAAGATGATGCTGCTCATCTGCTGTTTGTTTTCCTATGTCGCCTCCTACGACGGGACGATACGAGGTGGCGGATTCTCTTTCACCGCCACAACAAGGCGAACATTTTTCTACTCCCGTTCATGAGAGTAGTAGTTGCAACTTCACATTCACTGTGAATAAAATTTATAAGGAATAAAACTAACTTTAAGGATTTTATCGCGTTTAATATTTAATATAACTTTTTTAATTCCCGATGTTTTGGGCACTTTACAGCACCCATGGTCACGGGAGGACTAAGGTGTTTGACGACCTGATGTCATAGTTAGAATAGTATGCTTGGGTTTAAATTTCTCAGCCATCTTTCCTCTTAAAATTAGGATGTATTTTTTTTATTTCAATAGCTACGCGAATCATCATTGGTAGGAATCGGTGTTTTATTGCAAGAATTTGTTGTCTATCAAATCCGATATAATGGTTGGGACCATATTAAACATGTTGACATACTTTAGACTACCAGGAGCGTCGGTGCTCCCCATCAACGATATGTTCTTTTACGCGGGTTTTTATGAAACTTTCATTCAAATATGCGTAAAAAACCCCATGTAAAAATAGTTAAAATTAAACATGATAAAATCCGCAACTTTAGTTTTATTCCACGTGCAATATACATCATTAGAGAACCGCATTTGTGAAATCTTGAAGTCTACTCGAACGAAAAAAAATCTACATCTATTTTATGGTGTCAATCAATATTAAATACGATGAATAAATAAAAAGAATATCTCAAATAAACATTATACCGTAAATTGATAGAAGACCATGAAATTCATCATTATTTATTTAAAACTAAATTAACTTTAATTATGAATAAATCTTAAGAGTAAAATTTAAATAGTAATAATAAATTTTGATTACAAGACGAATTTACGTTACGACACACAGGATACATCGGAAGACACGCCAGATATAAAAAAATAGCAGGTGTTTCTAGATATTATATCTATTCACGTGTTCCTGTAGCATATTATATCTATGCCAAATACCAATCATCTACGTCTAATAGTCTTTTAGAATTCAAAAAAATATTTGACAGACATAAGAGACACAGACACCGAGTTGACTCTAAAAGTTATCGAATTTTGCTAAATTTGGCACGGAACAGCATTTAATGATGTTCCTAAATTCAAGCTCACGCGAGGGAAGCTGCGGGTAAAAAGCTAGTTATATAATAAACTGAAAAGAAGCATTCATCAACAGTATTATATTTGCCCGCGTGACGAGAAAATAATAAATATGTTATTTAAAACTATTAGGCAGGTAACATATTTAAATCTTTCGCGGACTATATTTAAGCTTTTGACTCTTCTCCGTAGCTGGCAGTGGCAATATATACAATACCAAACGAAATAGATTGCTGCCAGAAAGAGCAGTGTCTTTATCCTAACCAATATTAAAAATTCGAAAGTGAGTTTGTTACGCTTTCACACCTAAACCGCTGAATTGATTTTGATGAAAAATATAGGCCCGGATTTATCCCGATACCGAACTTACGCGGGTAAAACCGCGGGTTGCAGCTAGTAAAATTATAAATATTTTTATATTTTTTTAATATAGGCAAATCGTGATGAACAAAGGGTTATGTAAGAATTCGTTTGTGACCCTAGTATTACTTACATTTTTAATATAATTATCTTATTTGTGATTGCCATTATTGCCAAATAATAGTGAATTTACATTTTAATTCCTACTACCCCTAGTTATTTACTAAAGGAAAAGTTTATAATCCTCGATTATCCATAAAAGTTCTTATTGCTATATTACAAACTCTGAGACTGATTCTAAAATAAAAATTATTAGCAATGAAGGTTAAGATTTCATTTCAACTATCCTACAGATTATTTAATTTGTATGAAATATAAATAAAATAATAGGCCGCATAATCGGTGCTTTTTGCCGGCTTTTCCGACTAGTGTAAAAACATATATAGGTACTACTATAACTATTTCTTGCAGCCATATCCCATACAAAACACCAGCATTATTATTTTTCTATTTCACGAATGATATGCCAGTGCTGATGCAGCAACCGGAATTCTGGTTACAGAGCAAAATAATATCAAACGTCCTATAAAACGACATTAAACGTGACTAAACATATTATTTCCTGCAAGACTAAACATATGTTTACTTTGCCAAGTAGTATTAACTATTTTTCAATATATAAGTGCAAGTTAGATTTGCCAGTGAAATACTACCTAAGCGCAAGAACGCACTAGCGGCTGGCCGTGATGCGGCCAGCCGTCAACCGCTCCGGTTGAATGGCGCGGCGCGCCATGTCCTCTCCACACACTGACGCGGTTAGCCGCAACCGCAAGTCGCTTCATCTCATGGATTTTGATACGGAAATGTTCAAAAGTTCATTTTAGACATCAAAGAACGGGAATAATCATTGCATTTGCTATATAGGATAACAAATGCACTTAATATTAAACACAATAACTGCAGCAACTTCTTTGACGTCAGACCTTTCTAGAAACACTGACGATTGCGGCGGACCCCAATAGAATCGAGACAATACGATTAGCCGGAATACGGCGTGCCGTTGCGGCAGACCGTATATACTGCGGCCTGCCGCAACGGCATGCCGCATCACGGCCCGCCGCTAGTGCGTTCTTTGCCTAAGTATGTTTAACTTTGTTTACGTCGGGGACTTGAAGTTTTTTAATTTCTACCTTGGCACTGAGATCCCGGGCGGCAGTATCGGTGATACTGTAAATTAGTTTGAAGTAAAACATTATTAAATAATCTAACTGTAAGCTGGCTTACTCTAATGAAAACGATAGCATTAACACTGTTTGTAATATTTTGGAAAAATAAACAAACACTTTATTTAAAAGAAGCGTTTTAACTAGCGGATCACCCCGGCTTTGCCTGCATCTATAGTGGGATCTATTAATGTCGATATAATAAAATATAGCCTAGATCACCTCGCGTTGCTTTTTATCTGTTTGTTCTATAATGTATTTTACGTTTCATTACCATCGGTTTACCCATTCCGAAGATTAGCACGGACAGTCAAATAGACAGACAGACAAAATTTTTAAAATGGTTATTTATGTCATAATGGCATACAAATAACCCCATTAGCTCAAAATATGGCAGTTATTTCAATATCACAGACAGACCACAGATATGCATGATAGAACACAATACCTAAGATGTCCAGGCGCACGGTGTGAGTTTCGCTGTGCGTCTCGTTGCTGAGGCGGCAGGTGTAGTTGCCGGAGTCGGTGCGGGCGGCTCGCCGCGTGTACAGCGTCTGGTTGGCCGCCTCCGGGTACAGGATCAGGTTCGACACGCCCGCCGACCACGGATACGCCACCCCGTCTTTGAACCTGCGATCGAACGGATATTGATGAGTTCGAGATTCGATGACGAAAAACAAACAAACAACAATATGTTAAAAATCATGGCTGTTGTCTTCTATAATGTCAGGTTTGTGATGTTGTGTTTGAGTTTCGGCTTTCCAGCAGAAAGCTGGAAAAACTATGACATTTACAGTCATCTAGCTGCAGTGTGTGACTGTGTGAGTCTTTATTATGTCTCGGATAGTCACATGAATGAAGTCAAAATAAAACTTGATACTTTATATATATATATATATATATATATATAAGTGATTCTCTCATCACCTTTTGATGACACGTGCAAAAAAAATATTAATATATCTTTAACCAATGTGAACCAATTTTAATTCAAAAATTTCGGTGATTGCACGTAGCGCCGTTGGATCATCTGTACTAATATCACTGGCGTAGTGTGATTACTCTATAAGACGTGTTAACGTGGTAGAGCCATGCTGCAGTTATATTATGGCTGTAGTACGTATGGGACGGATCGACCGGCGACCACGCTCTCACAGAATACCAGTGTAAAATAGCAGTTTTATGCTGCAGTGTTTCGTATGGTTAGTGTAGAGAACTGGAGATTCTTTTTACTGGAAACGAGGCATTTCATATTAGTCCTCAGGAGTGGCAGCGCATCTGCATTTTGATTATTAATTGAAGATAAATGTAGTATGTATATGGGCCACAGCATCCACTTATGATCAGGTGGACTGTGTGCCAGTTTGTCAACTATAAAAAAAGATCAATTGAATATGGTGAGGTCTGTGGCGGAAACAATTCGCGGTAATGGTTAATGGAGCGCCATTCCGTGCGCAGCCGTTGCGCAACGATGCGCAGCTGCCGTTGACAGTTGCCTTCCGCGAAACACGTTACATCAAACGCTCGCGAATGAGGAAATCACGACACTTGAGCTTCGGGATCACTGGGAAGACGATGTAGCTATCGATTGTATTCTACAACTGAGACAGAGTCCTGTATATACTCCGATAAAACAATAGCACACTAGCGGCTATACTCTATGGTTATATGGTGTGACATATTAGACCATCTCTGTTTTTTAAAGAAGTAGGACTGACGCACGAGCACACAGTATAAATAGATGCTATGGTCCATACAGTTATCCTAGATTAAGAATTAAAATGGAGATGAGTTAGGGGTCTAAGGACAAGCTTATTAAAAGAAAAGCAAAACATTTCAAATATTATGTATAATATCTCTTTATATAATTAATAGAATACGACTTGATGGCACCGCATTTTCACGAATCAGAATGTTATTTATAAAGGCCGTATAAGCATAGTCATGTTCTGCGTATCGCATACTACCAAAGGAAAGGCTAATCAGTAGGTAAATGTTTATACACCTAAAAATCGGGCAGAACCGAACCAGCTGTAAATTGTCCGTGCGAATGTAGTTTGCGCAAACAAAACGTCGTATGGAGCCGACGTTTCACGCGAACAGTTAAATTTTGCAGTGGCCATATTTGAATCGTCCGAAAGTAAAACAAACATTTGAGCGATGCTCCATCGCAAGGCCGTGTGGGGAGTGTTTCCCAGAACCCGCAGCGGACCGCGTCGCGCTGAATATCCAGCGGCCAGAACCACCGCCAGCATACCGAGATACGCAATTATCTTCCTCTCGCCTATCAATATGGATTATCTGACCATATGGATCGCATCAAATATTTTTCTTCCAGCATCCCATTTACGCGTCGAATGTAAATATTCGCAAATAAATACATCGTTACTTCACTAACAAATTCTAAGAAACCATATTAAAAGTACTGAGCATGTTTACAATATACATGTTCCTGGGAGAACGAGGTTAATATATTTAACGTTATAACGATTTAACGTATAACGGGATTAATAAAATGCAATAACGAGGACTGAATACCAGTGCAAAAAATTAAAAATTAATGTAATAGCCTGAATTATATTCCGAATAACGATAAAACTATTGTAAAAGTTGTTTATTTTCTTACGGTACTGGGATTTAAAGAAAGCTTTTCGAAACGAGTTCCAATGCACGCACGCGGTTTTGTCGGCGGAAATCCATAACTAAGCGAACAAGTAAAGGGAAAAGCAAATAAAAACTGCGCTGCCGAGTGCGGTGCACTTTGTAGGCCTTGCACCGACGCGTCGTTGTTCTGTAACGCGACACATGTATGGCAACCGATTGTTCTTTGCTTTTAAGTCATTGTAATTAGTTTTAGTGCTTATAAATAAGTTACATAAGATTTTAAAAAATACGATAGAAGGAAGATATATTTTTGTTTATAGTAGTATATAGGAATTTCAAAAACTGATAAGAAATAGATCACTAAGAGATAGAAATGTACATCAGCATTTTTTTTTAATAATAATCCTATCTATCATTAAATAAGTGTATCTCATCCATCTCACCTTGTCGTGTGATGCACTTAGGGCAGTACCAGAAAAAACTTTCGGCCTTCGATTAATGCCATTATATAACCTTCTAGTAGAGTAAGCAAATAAGAAACATTCAGAAAAACGACAAAAAGTAGCGGCAAAAGTGCAAAGAATATTCTAATACTATGATCGAGAAAAAGCCTGCAAAGCGTGATGACGGTGACAAATAATATAGCACGGAGGAGGCCAATGCTCAGAAGTGGAATGTTTACAGGCTGAAAAAGAGGCGGATGAAAAATAAACATAACAAAAGGTTTCATGAGAAGCGAGCTTCACTATTATGTTTTTTTTTTTTATAGGAATAGGGTGACAAACGAGCACACAGTCCACCTGATGGTAAGTGGTCGCTGTGACCCCATAGACATCTACATTTATCCTCGATTGCGAATCAAAATGCAGATGCGTTGTCACCCGTGAGGACTAAGTTGAAATGCCTCTTTTCCAGTAAAAAGGGTCTCCGGTTCTCTACACTCACCATACGAAACACAGCAGCATTAAGCTGCTATTTTACGCTGGTATTCTGTGAGAGCGTGGTCCTTTCCCGGTCGAGCCGACCTATTCGTGCTACAACTATACTACTAATATAGCTGCAGTATGGCTCTACCACGTTAAGTCATATTGATACTTGGACTTGTCTCTTGTCACGCTGTTTTATTTAAATGAAGTAAGTTGTTGTTTCTTTGAATATCGGGACTAGGATGTGAAATAAGATGTAAAGTAAGTTACAGCCGATATACGTCCTACTGCTGGGCACAGGGTCTCCTCTCATTTCTGAGAACGTTTAGGTGAGAGCCGTGGTAGCTCAGGGGGCTCGGTGGCAAAACACAGCTATGGCTAGTATGAAATGTAACAATTGTTTTACTGATCTGATCTATTAATAAGCTTGGAAATTAAATGCGGAACTACATAATACGATTCCGAAACAACTACAATCTACAAAACAAATCGTGCAATTTTCAACAAAATAATGATTAAGGAGTCTGTTTACAGTAGGTACACAGTTTAATACTATCGTCACATCCCGTGAGTGTCATAAGAAGCGACGGAAGAAGAAAGATGGAAGGGAAATGAAACATGAAATGAGCAGTAGAATTTTCCTAATAAGAACCCAAAATAATAAAAAACTGCGGTTGCCAACCCGCTTGCCAAGTGTGCCAACTATGGCTAATATTCTCCTTATGAAGCCGTCTATGACGGAGGCCTATGTTAACAGTTCATTTTCAGCAAATAATGAGTAAATGAATACGGAGCTTATAAAATATGTACTCTTTGTACTAGCCTGATATAATATTACAAAGGAACGGACATGAAGATAAATATAAAGGTATTTCGAACAAGGACTAGTAGCGATCACGCTACAATAGCAAGTAAAGGCAGATCAAAAGGTATTGTTCCTTTGTGTAAAAATCTCTATCATTGAATCTATATAATATTATAGAGAGTGTGCATTTTGTGAGCTTGTATAAATGTTTAAGGTAATCTCCAGAACCGCTGCTGCTACAATTTGAAAAATTCTTACACCAATGGAAAGGAATTTTATTCTACATGGATATAGGCTACATTATATACATACATATATATATATACACACACACACATATATATATATATATATATATATATATATATATATGTGTGTATATAATGTAGCCTATATCCATATATAAGGCTAATAGTTATGATGATATCTGTCAACTAAGACGGAAAAAATCGTGCCTCTTGAGAGCTTTTCCATCGTGCGCTGGATCAATAGTGAAAGTTGCACGAAGATAACGTATGGCTGATTAGTTATTCTTGAAAAGTTATAAAACAAGTCCGCGACACCATATCTATCTTCTGAGGATAACTCACAGTAACCATTTTTGGGTGGCGGTGACGGGGATGTCGGGGCGGGGGAGACAATATAAATAATAATCCAACCCGGGCAAAGAAAAAAAATACTAGTTATATATGTATTAAAATTATACGATAGAGAAGCAGAATGGATCTTAATTTTAATGACGGATACACTGTAACGTGAAACCTAAAGTTCCCAAATAAAAGAATATAGGATGAGATCATCGTGGTCCAGACCGCAACAAGCCCCACCCGCGGTCCCTGCCCTGCGAATATTTCCGAAATAACGCGAACCGGTCTTTGACCGAGTGTCGGGTTGCATTCGCTCAACGTATAACAAATCATTCGTGCATCGTCCAAGTTCAGGAAGATCATACTTTTAGTTTTATTTTAATAATACCTCTTGTTACTTAAGTTTGATGATGGCCGTTATACCGAGTAACGAAAGATTTAAATATATTTTATACGAATGCTGCTGCAGTAGTTGAAAACATCGATAAATCGATTATTTAACGCAGTATTATTATTAGAACCTTAATATTAGAATGACAAACGAGACCGCTTAAAGGTAAGTGACTACGGCAGCTCACTTACCACATTTTTTTACATCAACACTGGTAAACAACTTCTAGCAAAGAAGGCCACAGATGTGTTGTCACTCTTGAAGAATGTAAACTGATATGAAATTCCTCACAACCAGTCCACACTCTGTCTCTCTTC